AATGCAGAGGGGAAATTTAATGCACATGCAGCGATAAACCATTGCTAACGAAAACACGATTCTCAGAGAAGTTCAGTTGATAGTGACGATGAAAGCATCATCAACAATGTTTTTTATGCCATACTATGGTAAAATAACGCATGATAATATCATCATAATAATGTGTATCACACGTGAGTGTGGTCTGCAGATTTAAAACGTTGAATGTGTTAAAGTGATCGATTGCTCTCAGAGGTAATCTCTTTCGATGCTCAGGCAAAATTTATTGAACATATTATTATTTTAATCGTAAACGGAGCGCGATGGTGTAATTAATATTTAATATACACCGTAGCATATCGTATGTGATCACCAACTTATTTTCCGCAGTCCTATACGCGGCCGATATGTCATAGTCATAATTATTTACGAGTATACTACTGCGAGCAGTACATTTTAAACTTTGAATGTACGTTTAAAAGTTTTCGGCCTTTGTTTATACGGTATAATAATAGGTATTATGCGCCGCGTAGGTACAAAACTTAAGTCCTTTCTCGAAGTTCGACGATCTATTCCCGAGACATTGTAGTATTACAGGTAGGTATATAATTTCTCGTTTGTATATGCAACGAGTTGGTTTTAATAATTCAAAATGTGTACGTTGTTGCTCGTGTAAATATATTATATTTAATACTCACGCCCTTCGAATTATTGTCATGATATTATAATATTTTTGTTAGTTTTTCAATTTTGGGACTGGTTTACATGCTGGAGTATAATTTCTCCATGCGCTTTTATTATATCTTTTTCTATAACAGCAAGTAACTCGGGCGTCTTATTTTGTTTCTTTTTTTAATTAAGGACATGAACTTTGTCGTATGCCGTGCGTGTGTCCTCTGCCATCATCTTCTCGTAGAACCGTTTCGCACAAGTTGCCGACAATCGAGTTTCTGGCAACTGAAGTTTCATTGTGTTGACTTTCCATCAACAACAGCCGCTGAATGGTCGACGAACCCTTTAGTTGCCCAGACTGTTCGGCGACCGTCCACATAATTTAATTAGTAACTTCCGCACGAATAGTTTTTTATGGCCAACACGCGTTCCATCACGGTTTTTACCAAGGTTTATAATAGTGTAGATAGGATGTGCCGCCTCTCTTCTCCGTCTTCTATTATTTTTAATAGTTTCGATTTATATGCACAATATTATCATATTCATAAAGTATCGACAATCCGTCCACCTCGAATTCACTTGCGTAACGTATTTTTAATTCGGTAAGCCATTATTCCGAAGCCCGTAATATTGCAATATTGTATTGATTCAATCGATATTTTCCTCGATTTCTTACGAAAAAGATTAGAAATTCACGTTTTCACCAAAAACAAAAAAAAACCACATATTGTTTTGCTGTACCGTATTAAACAGATAATATAATTCGCACGACGGCGGCGAGCAATTACAGGAAATACACAGGAAACCCACACGGTTGAAGAAATATTTTCTCTCTTTGGTTTTCTATACAATACTACAATATGTCCGAGTCTCTAGATCGATCCTCTGACTTCAGCAGACATCCCCGCCTCGTCTACCAAACACCGGCTCTGAATTTAATAATAACTTTATGCGTGCGTTTCCTTCAGCTAAAGTTTTCGGCAGGTTTATTACATTTATATATAGCTGCGGTTTACATCGCGTACAATACAATCAATAAACGACATTATAATAATGACGTTATATTCTGCGAACCGTTGAGTAAGTATAATATTTACCATCTGCAGACCGCTGCAGTATCTGCGTTTGATCACTTGACCCATATTTTCTGTATACATAAAAATACATACGCGCTAGGAATCGGTGTTTCTGCATAATAATTCCCGTATAGCTAAAAACTGCACTTTTTAATAATTCGTTGTGTTTACTGTTTACCATCAATACGATACCACCAACTACAATGTACAATATTACAATAAACTGAACTTGGTTGAAACTCACGAAGCTGTAAACTATCGTTCTGTTTTCTTCCTGGTCTTATGTATAAGTACTGGGTGCCTGGTAAGTGGATTAAATCGGGTTTTCGTTGTTTATGTGCCGAGTTAAATTAACCGAATTACATATAAATACAAACTTAGTTTAAACCAAAATAACGATAAGTGCACTGTTGCAGGCGAGAAGTTAGAAAGGTAGAGAGGAAATTTAATGTTTATCAACGATTAATCATTGCTAACGAAAACCGATTCTGGGCGGAGTTCGATATACATGTTTCGAAAGGCCGTAATATTTACGACTTTTGTCGAAATTTGATATAAAAACTCTTATAAAAAAAAATTTTACCCGGTCTTAGAAACCAGGTTCACGCATTATTCGAATTCAAGATTTCGGGTTTGACGAGGTTTCAAGCATAATTCACATTCTAGGTTCAGAGTTTATCCAGGTTTCAAGGATTATTCAAGCGGAACTTGAATAATTTTGATTATTTTCCGGTTTTCGTGATTTTTAAAACCGAGTAAAATCCCCGCTGAATCATTAGATATAATTTCGAATTTGAATTATTCGTAGCAAAATCCCGTGTAATACTTCATGCGTTAGGTGCACGGTTTTTTACTATAAACCGTATTGTATAGTCGACGTACAAATGAGATGTGGTCAAACGAATGTATCATTTATTCGAGTATAAGCATTGTGCCATGTTATATTTTATTGTGCATAAATTACTACAGACTGCTGTCGTCATCCGTCGCCCAACTGTTCGGTTAACAATTGTTAAAGTATAATATTATTGTAGGCTTTTAACGACGAGGATCAAAAATCGGCCGAGATCTTCAATGATTGCATACGTTTCGAAAAAAAAAAAACATATTTGACAAAAGAAATATTAAAAGATATTTTATTTTATTTATTTTGACGTATATTATCTTGTTCAAATAATAAAAAAAAAAAAAAAAAAATGCGTTTTCAGAAAAACAATCTACAACCGAATAGGGTCTCTACCACTGAGAATATTATACTCGCAGTTATGTGATAAACAGTTGCGATCAGAGAGAATCGTCTTCTATCACCCCAAGGATTATGAACAAAAGTTTACCTCGCTACCTTTTACTTGCGCAACTATTGGACGAGGGGGTGCTTGCCTTATTCTTTAGATGCTGAAGAACACGTCATGGTCAATTTAACCAAACGATATGACGATAATATAGACCATAATTTGATAGAATGCTAAGAACAATGCAATATTGTAAAGTAACAACTGTCACAAACCATTATCGAAGTTTCGTCCAAGATATACTACGGATTATAAAGATGCAGCGAAACTTTTTAAAATGTCATATATGGTTGCTATAGTGACAACAGCTTCCGCAGAGTAAATGTGTTTAAATTTATTACTGTGAAAGTGTGAAATATGAAAAGTACATTAACAATTAATTTAGTCTTGTTCAGTAATTTTATTGCTTGTATATATTTCGATTTAATTAAAAGCGACGAACCACCATGCCTCGGGATTGAATTTTTGATTATGGTACTGGTGAAAAAATCCGCTCAGAATCGCTTTTCGTTTGCGATGATTAATCGTTACGTACAGATATAAATCAAATTCTCCTCAATATTCTACGTTCCCGATTTCCATGTCCGTCCGTTTTTTAAAATAAATATATAACAAACAAAAAACAAAAAAAAAAAAACAAAAAAATGTGCATTAAATACAGATTGTATCGTACCTATTATTGCGTGTCTTATTTTTGACATTTAAACTATGAACACGTTTTAAAAAATCGCCCGCAAACTAAAATTATCGGCCACGCCACTGAACGCTGACCGTATCTATGATGATAACAATGTGTGTAGAGCAGTGTCGGGCGGAGTAATGTTTAAACGGCAATTTCGGAAATTTCCGCGAGACAAATTGCCGTACGGCAAATAATAATAATAAAACGGTACAAACCGGACCGACAAAATAGTATTAGAAATATACAGCATAGGTGTACCTACACATTTACGAAAATAATTATTATTATCGTGTGCGCGGCGCCGGAAATTATGAAGTACCTACGTTATTACACCGCCCACAAAACGATATGCGCACGATTGCCGTAAATTACACGCGGTAGAAAAAAAACCGGACGTATTTCGCACTGCGGCCCGGTCGGGCCACTTTTGTGGGTCGGAAATCGGTGTAATTGCAGGTGTAAGATCTATGATTCGGCTTGTTATAATGTTATACCGCGAAAGTGACGATAAATCACTTAACCTATGGCGGAAAATAAAAAAAAACCTATTATACGAGTGACACTGTACGGTCATCGTGTCTTATAGATTCTGAGTGGAACGAACATGGCTGGCTTATGGTGATTTTACAAAGATGTTTATTTTTTTTATAATTTTTTATTTGTGCGCAACTTTTCTACCAGAATTATTACCCCGGTTTACAATAATAGCACTTTTTCTAAAAGGAAATCTAAATGGAGGGGTACTTTAGAGAGGTAATTTTATGATTTTCTCGGGAGTTTTCTCAATATATTAAAAAAATCGGAAAAACGGAAGAATACCTAGTTTTCCATTTTAAATGGATACAATATTAAACAAATATTAAAGAATTAATTTTTCCACGGCGCTTCCCCTCTAAAAAAATGTCAAAAGTCCAACATTCAAGGGTAGCTGCAGCGCAGGTGGACCATGGGACTGGTCTGTCTTAATACCGACCGGTTGGCCGGTGACCACTGAACAAAGAGGACGCGAAGAAATTCCAAAAGGTAATCTCCCTTACGCGAGGATCGAAAATCCCATCACTGACGAACCCACTCGACGGCTTTTCGACGGAGGTTCGCGGATCGAAATCGGGTTAACACACGAACAATCCGAAGTATTTGGTCAACAAGTATACAAATATATTTGGAAATCGGAAAACATATAATTACATTTTGTAATTATTAAATAATAGCTAATGGCGGTGAAAATTCGTACGGATCACATCGGCGTTTTTCGGGCTTTAATAATACCGACCGTCGGGAAAAATTCTTGGGTAAAATTCATTCGTGCGATTTGCTCGCATAATGTATTTCACAGTTTGGCATTTTGTTCTCCAAGCTATAGATAAGTTCGGAGTCGTTATTGATTCTTAAATTTTTCAATTCCAATAGCTTTAATGAGCTATAATCAATTTGCAAAATAAAAAAAAAAAAAAAAATAAAAAACAAACAATTCATTAGACGTGCGTTGTCGATTTTACCGGAACGAAAATTCATTCGTTAATATTCTTATAGGTCTTACTGTAGATGTTGCAATTTCAGTATTCCTTCTCGGGTAACGTTGACACAACCGTCGATTTCTAAACGTTTCAAATTGGATCTTAAGATCAAAAGTTCGTTTAACGCTTCGTTAGTAATCGTATTGCACTGGACAAACGAGACGTCGGAAATTTCGGTACAGTCTTCTGTACAATTTCAAAACAATCGTATACGTTATAGAAAATTCGTTATTTTTTTTCGCGAGAAGATGAAATGGAGATTTTTATAACAATAATGTTTTGACCGGGCGATTAGTAAAGATACGTACGGAAATGACGGAACCCTACATGCGATATAGAAGCCTCTCTTCCGGCGTACACTTGTTCGATTTTGAACTGTTCGAGGAAACCGCATTGCGTATGCGGCAAGCAATCGTAATGACTTACGAACTCTTTACAACCTTTCCAACGGACTTGGGCGCCGTTTTTCATTAACCATTCGGCGCACGCCATGTTAGGACCGATTTCTTTGATACGGTCGTCGTCGTACCTATAATTTTATAACAGAATTACACACGGAATAAAATATCTGATTTACACGGTTGTTACTACTTTAGTAACAATATACAGCAGTGTTCCTCAAACGTTTTTGTAACGGGATCCCATAAATTTAATGTAAATTTGTCAAAGCACCCTTGATCAAAATCAACTATTGTTAATATTAGTTATTTTTTCCTAATTATGTACTCAACTTACATCAAAAAATATTATCTAATTGTTTTAAATTTCATAAAAAAAAAAAACCCCCGGAACAAAAATCATATATTTTCAATGTGATCTATTATTCATCAGAAGACTGTTCAATAATCGAATCATTAAAATTTAAAAATTTTTCACTCGCTACGTTTAGAATCTAAGAATAAAGAAATATTTCATGAAATGTTCAACGTTCAACCACTGAAGACACGATACAGTGCAATAGTCTCTACTTGGGGAAATACGAAAAAAAAAAAAAACATCTAATGATTCAATATAAAACGGATATATTTTATTTAAATATTTGAATGCCCTCCTGGACGTATCTACGGTTTCCCTGCAAGAGAGTTCGCTGTTTTTTAGTGTAGACTTTTTTTGAACGCAAATTGTCTAGATTATATTTTAAAGGTCATTTTCTAGATAAAAGCACTCAAGTGGGATAAAACGTAGGAAAACGTACTATTTCAAAAACTTAAAAAAAAAAAAAAACGGTAAATCTGATAGGTGTTATACGTATCGAAATTTCTACAAAAATATTCTCTACTATTTGAATCAGCCATTGAAGTAGTGAGAGGGAGTGATTTTTATTTAAAAACCAAAGTGGATACTCATTTCAGGTATAAGGAGTATGGGTAAAATTGGAAATAGTGTTTAACTGAAACTCAATCGATTCAACAATGATTAAAAAAAAGAAATGAAATTCACTTAAAAACCACCGAGAAAATCGCTCGTTCGTGATAAAAGAATCACTCCGTATAAAACTAAGTTAATTAAATCATAATAACAAAAAAAAAAAAAACAAAACACTTGCACGTTGAACGAATCTTCGATCCACTGCCATAAACTTCGGTTACACTTTCCGAACGGGTTTTTCGATAAACCGGAACGCAATGCTTTTATCATATTGATACAGCACGATTATATCAACAAAAACATTAACATATATAATGATTCGGTAAGACAGAATGTACTGTATTACGTTTTATTTCTCTTCGTCGCGAAACACAAGCGCAATACTATAGCAACGTGGCATTTATAATGGTCAAGGTTTTATTTTTTTTTACGGTTTATCTACTTTATTTGATAAGACTTATTGACTAATTTACCAACCAATATCCATTTAAGGGATAAAGGTATGACCGTTATTACTAATATGACGTTTTAGACCGAAAAGCCAGATAAAACCGTAGGAATTTATTGTGTTTGACGGAATTTAATTTTGAAAACGTATTACTGCTCGTTAGGTTCTTAACTAGGAACGTTGGAATTGTTTTTTTTTTTTTTTTTTTTTTTTTTTTTTTCTTAATTTTAATTCCCTATCACGTAAGTAAAAGGCAAAATACTTCAAGTTAATTTCTGAACAAATTTAAAAATGCAATTACATTTTCTTCGATTTTCGTTAAATAAAAATTTAATTTCTTTTTCCAGCATATCTGAAAAAAAAAAAAACCCCAAAGAATCATAATCCATTTTCATAATTGAAATTCATCAAAAATAATTTCTACAGTTTTTTCTGGGTTTAAGGACTAAATCCACTAATATATACACCGTCATCCGTCACTAATCAATCCCTTGTAATAATAAATTGTACATTAAAAAATATTCTATGAAACCATGTGGTTCAATTGTTTTGCTTGGTTTTATAATATTTTTTCCCGAATTCCGAACGAACCGGTGGAATATACGACAACTATGGCGTATTGGTTTTATTTGTTTTATCCGTAACTTTTCTACCAGCCATTTGGCTTCAATCAAAACTTTCATTTGTGGTGGTCATTTTTTGATTTTCCTTGCATTTTCATGAATAAACGGGAGGGGGGGGAGGAAATAGAAATCCTCACTTTCGACTAACCTATTAAAACAGCGGGTAAACCCTTCTATCAACAAAATCTTCATCGCTTAAATTGTGTCTCCCTAAAAGCGTTCTCACTACGAATTCTTTCTCAATCGCCTAATTAACTAAACACGTCTGTTTACGACATCCGTGTACGGTCCACATTAGTCTTTCGTTTAACGATCTTTCTAACAACTGTACTATACCGGGTCCCTGGAAATCAATTGCAAGTTCGTCGTCACGCGCGATTTCCTCCGGTCGGCGGTTTCGACGTGAAATCACTAGTCGTCGCAGCTAGTGCGATCGCCGCTAAAACTTAAACGCGCAATATTCGTACGTTCGTTTTTTGCCCGCGATTCAATCAGTTACCGCTCGCGATGTTTGTTATCTCGCATGAAACTATACATCGCCGCGGTATTACCGCGGCGTGATTAGCATAATCGTCTGTTTCGTACGGTAGTCCGAACCCCGCGCCCGGAAAATCGATTTGCGTTGTCCGGGGCCGCGGGACGGCCGGACACTGGAGTGCGGACCGCCGCCGGACGGCCGACCGACGAACCGAGCGGGGCGGGCAATACTCGTTATTGACAACGGCGACAACCGTCCGCTGGGGCGCCCGTAAATCGCGTGCACGCGCCCGCGTTACACTCGATTGCGAATTACCGTGCGGCGGACCGCGGTACGCGCTGCGAAACGGACGGTCCGCGGTCGCCGTGAGTCGCACGCGCGGGAACACGGAATTTCGGTTCGGCCGGCGAAAATCGCCGTTGCACCGTCAGCGGGGGAAACGCGTCCGCGGGTTCCGCGGCGTGCGCGGCGCCCGACATTGTGATGCGATGCGCGATTCGAACGGCCGACTTGCCGGGGACACGTCACGCGACGCTGGCATTGTTGTCGCGGCGAACACTACCCGATCGAAAATTGACAAAAAAAATAATCGCGAGACGACCACCCCGCAGTCCCGGACAGTGGCGAATATAGGAAATTTTTTTTGTTTTTCGGAAAGGGGGGGCCAAAATCTTTCGTATCGGTTTTGTACAATAAACGCTAAATATAAAAAAAAAGAGATGAGACCCGATCGAGTATCAACAAAGGCGCCCGGAGGTGGAAATTCAGAGGGGGGGGGGAGGAACAGAACGAATTTTTGCTAATAATCAAACATTTTTATCGTATATGTATTGTGACGCGTATTTTCAAAAACTGTTCAAGTTATTATTACATAACACACGATTTTACGCTTATAGCAACTGATCGAACGCAAATTGTAATTTTATTTTATTTTTCCCAAATGCATCGTCGGCTTTACTCGTTCTGCTAAATTAATTTCTTCAGCATTTTTCCTGTGTAAACGTGACGTGCATAAACGACATTATCACGCATTAGATAACCGCAAGCAGCCGTCCGCAAAAAATGTCCACGGTGGTTGGTGCCAACTTCAAATCGTTGGGCATAAACCATTGCGTGTTGTGATAATTAATTGGCGGAATTCCATTATCACGAAATATACCTACCGACAAGGTACCGATAATGAATTTCGGGATTTTTAAATATTGAATTCGGTTATAATTACGAGTATGTTAACTCGCTGGAAAACTGTGAAGGAGTCGCCCTCCCTCCCCTCCCCCCCGTCCCCTTGTGTGCGCCCGACATTATCGACTGTACGTAACAATCGGTCTGACCGCAATTTATTTGATTGTTTATAATCACAATTGACTCATATACTGTTACAACTACAAATATAACTGTCAAGGGTCCCAGAGTCGAACCGTTAGCAAAACACTCGTCGGACATACTCGTAGGTACTGCCGGACTCGACAGTACCTAAGTTATGTAATACACGGGATTCTACGACCTTATAGAACTTGGCGGGCATGAAAAACTACGGATTTGAGCATTCGACACCGTAATAATACACATAATATCGGTCGATTCCGGTCACAATAATATACCCGGACACGTTTCACACGTCACACCCGTCCCAATATAAATACACGGGTAAGGTCGAATATTGCACGTAATATTGCACAGTCGAATTACACTCGGATGAAAAACAGGCAACGGCCGAACTGCGGTCGAGTCGAAAAAGGTGTTTTTACAAAAACGTGTGAACAAATAAACTTAATTTAAAGTTTTGAGAACGTCCACGTGGCTTTCCCCATTTGTACGATTTAATCATTGCAGGCGTGGTTACAAATTAACGCGTTTTTACGTTTCAATCAACAATAGTAATAATTAAGTTCAGAAAAAAAAAAAAAAACGTTTTTTTTAACTGCTTAGGTATAAAAAACAAAACCGATTTTCAACCATTCTCGACAATTGAAATCGTTGTCGGTCCCAAGCCAGTGAACGGAAGGGAAATGGAAGGGAGGAAGGAGGGAAATTCGACCGTCCCGCGTTGTATAAGGACGGTGCCGGTGTTGCGGGCTTACCGACTCGGCGCTTTTCACCGGGAACAGCTGTTGTTGGAACACTAGTGTTTGACCGGAGCATCGTACGGGGCGTTAAACACACGAAACACGATCGTAGACAACCGCAGTCAACGAACGGTTTGAACGGTGCATTCCGAATTTTCCCCGAAACTGTCGGCTGTTCGCCCCCTACCGTGTCTGTTAAACGCGCCCGGAAATAGATTATTTTCGGACATTTCTAACGGCTCCTTCCCGGAGTCCGGGGCAAATGAGCTCACGCCATCGGGAACAAAGAACGGCTTTGTAGACAGGTTGAAATAATGAAGGCCGAGTGTAATGTTACTGTACCTGCGCACTCAATCGTGTACGTTGCGAGAGGAGGGCGATTTTTAGTTTTCCCCGCCGGAATTACGTTAGGGTGGTTACTTTTCGCGTACGCACGGCGTGAGTATTAATAATAATGTCCACCCCTATTACATATTTTATTATGATCGAATTTCATCGTTTTTTTTCCCCCCGTTTTGAAATGATCAACTGCTGTAGTGTTTCGTTACAATGTCGTTGCAGTATTCGGGCGTTTTTTGTATTCGCAACGTTTTATACGATAGGCGGAGGAAAGTCCGACTCTAGTGGCGGGAACTGTTCCGATCCGTACGGGTTTTTTTTTTTTTTTTTCTTTTCTGTCTACCGTTGCGTTTCGTTTAATTTCACGTTTAATACGACGACCGGTCAACGTACATAAGAAGTTTCTAGTGCCCGTGTTATTATTATTATTATTATAAAACACGCGAGGCCCGAGAGAGAGAGAGAGAGAGAGAGATTGCGTGCGCGTGTGTGCGTGAGACGCGCGAGAAGGAGTGAGGAATAGAAGAGGAAAAAAAAAAAGCACTCGTACGGGCAATCCGAATTCAGCGTTTACACCGCGGTGGTGGGAGAATGAAAAAAAAAAAAAAACCGAAAACCGACGGAACAAAAAAAAATAATACGTATACGTGTACAGCGATAGAGGGATAGAGCGAGAGAGAGAGAGAGAGTGTGAGAGAGAGAGACAGAGAGAGCGAGTGACGGCCGGACCGAGAACCGACGCTGTCGTCGGCGCTGCTGCCGCGCCGTGCAGTCGTAGCGCGCGGCGTTTACGGCCGCCAAAATAAACATAATTCAACGGTTCCGAGCGCGGGCCTGGATCGCGTCCGGCAATCGTATAATGGTAATGGTAATAACCGCGCACCGGTAATAATAGCAGTCGCCGTTTGACAAGCGCGGCGGGCACCTCGGGTCCCGGAGGCGGCCCGCCCGGCCGTGCGGGCCGTGCCCGCGCGCGTTATAGCGTACGCGCGGCTACGTGCGCGCCGGATACCCCGCAGACAGCAATAGTAATAACAATAATTATTGTACCCGGTCCGCGCGCACGCGTGTACGTGTATGCCTCTGACGCTATTTTTTTTTAGTTTTTTTTTTCGGTTTTTCCCCCCCGTTTCTCCTACGTTCGCGCGCCCGCGTCTAATACCGTCTCACACCGTGCCGCGGTAACGCGACCCGAACGCAATACCGTAACGTCACGATATTTAGGCCGGGGGGTCGCGTGAAAACCCGTCCGCGAACGGTCCGGCGTCGACGCGACCGTGCCGGGCGATTGGTTCGAGCCGCGAGGGGGTGGGGGC